TTTTCCCAGCCACCATCAGTTCTGAGGAAGGGTCACCGGACCCGAAACATTAACTCTGTTTTCTCCTTCACAGATGCTGCCAGACCTGCTGAGCTTTTCCAGCAACTTTGTTTTTGTTCCTCCTTGCTAATATCTGGGAACTTGCACTAATATTGAAAAAGCTGTCCAATTGGCAGCCTGACATACTCATACTCGCAGAATCATGTCTGTCAATCCTAAACTCTACCATTTCAACTTGCAGGACAGGGCCATCAAAAGTTACAGCATACAGTTGGGAAGACACAGACAGTCTTTGCCACTCCCAAATACCACTTACTTTTCCTTCCTCAGGTAAGCTATCAGACTCAACTCGCGGCAGGTGGCACAAGAATAAACACATATACTTGTTCAATTTATCAGCTACAAATACTTATGCCCATGACAGTACTGGTTGGTGGGACTGCCACACAATCCTTGCAGAGATGAAGCCCTGCCTTCATACTGAGGACATCTTTCGTTGTTTGCGTAAAGCTACCACAGTGGTAAATGGGATGGATTCAGTATCGATGTCATAGCTCAAAACTAGGAATCCATGACGTGGATGATCAATGTTGTAAGCCACCTGAAGCACAGAGTTCTTCAACCCCAGTCTGTAACCTCAGGGCCCAGCATATTCTTTACTCTATCATTACAATCAAGCCAGGCAGCCAATCTCAGTCCAGTCAAGACTAAGAAAAAGCATGCCAATAGCAGATGTCGTAAGCCTGCTGCAGTGTTCCAGCGAAGCTCAAAGCAAGCTTCAGGAACAGCATTCATCTTTTGCTCGGGCATTTTACCGTCTTTTGCACTCAACATCAAGTTCAACAACTTCAGGTCATTTACTCTGATCTCATTTTGATTATCCCAACCTCCTCCCAGACTCCTGTTTAGGTGGGTTTGCTTTGACCTCTTTCCTGCTATTAGCACTTAACATTAACACCTGCATTTCATCTATGATCACTTCTCCACTACCATTAGCACACCGTTTGTCTTTTGCTCCAGGGCATCTTACCATCTGTTCTACTTGTTCCTCCTCCCTGCTTTTTCTACAGCATAAATCCCACCAATTTTCCAGTCCCCTTCAGTTCCATAGAAGAAAAATACTGGACTTATAACATTAACTTTGTTTTTCTCTCCACAGATGCTGCCTGACCTGCTGAGTTTCTATTAGCATTTATTTTGGTTTTTATTTTAGGTCTCCGGTATCTGCAGTACTCTACTTTTATTATTATGTTAACAGAGAGGCAGGAACATTTGAAATTGAGATGCCAACCTGGTGAAGCTTTAACATATGATTAAGTGCTCACAAAACAGAAGTAGGGTTATGTTACAAACAACTAAGTGGTTCCATAATCAACAGAACAGTTCAAAGCACTACTGTCCTGCCACAGTCACAAATGATCATTGACAATTAAAGAATAAAGAGAAGAAAGAGCCAGAATGAACATCCCCATCTAAAATGATGGCACTTGAATACAGAAAACAAGAGTTATGTATTTGCAAACATCTTCAGCCATAAATGCAGAATACGTGGCCCTTTTTGGTACCACCTGGTATCATAAATGCCAGTCTTCGGCCAATTGATTCTCTCAAATAACAAGAATTGGCGTTATGCACCAAACACAGCAAAGACTATGGCCTGAAAACATCACAACTGCAGGACAACAGACTTGTCCTCCTGGATGTGTTTCTAGCTGCAAACACAAAGTGTTGGAAAAACTCAGCAGGTTTGGGAGCATCTGTGGAAAGAGAAAGAGTTTGTGTTTCAAGTCTATAACGACTCTTCTTCAGAACAGAACATCTCTAAGCGGTGCTGTTCGCAAACAGCTAAGCAACAAACTGGAAAACTGGGCAGGTTTCTGCTGTCCACAAAAAGCAGGACAAATCCAATCTAACCATTAGTACCCCATTGGTTTACTCTCAATTATCAAAGTGGCAGAAATTGTTGTCAACAGTACAATCAAGCAGCACTTATCCATCTATGTGCAATTTGGATTTTGCCAGGAACATTAGGTTTTGGGTCTCACTCCACACTCCAAACACAGACAAAATACTAAACTCCAGCAAAGTAACAGTGACTACTCTCAACATTAAGGCATAATTTAATAGAGTTCAGCATTTAGTTAAACTGAGGATAAAACTCTACTATTTGGACTCTTACATAGCATGAATGAAGATGGTTGTTTTTATTGGAAGCCAATAATACCTAATCTCATCATACAAAGAGTTTGTCAGGACAGTGGTGTTGGCCCAACTGCATTAAGCGGTTTCATCAGTAGCCTTCCCTTGATCATCAGGTCACAAGTTTGCTGTTCACTGAAATCGAAACTGACCCCTATACAATCAATTTGCAATAACCCAGGTAATGTAACAGTCAGCACCTACATACAGTCTGACCTCGCCTGGATGTTAAGTAACATTCATAGCACATGTGCCAGGCCACCTCCAAGATCATCTTCAACAAGAGAATGTCTAACCAACTCCCTTCAACATTCAAAGGCACTACAATCACTGAATCACCAACTTTCAAAATCCTGTTATCACCACTGACCAGAAAGATACGTTGAGGAGTCGCATAAATACAATGGCTACAAAAGCAGCTGGAAAGTGTATATCCTATGTTGATACTTACCTATTGACTCCTGCAACCTTCCAACACCTAAAGGTGCAAGTCAAGAAGGAAACATAATACTTATTTTGCCTGGAAAAGAGAAGGGCCAATGACACTCAAGTAGCTCAACACCAGCCAGGACAAAATAGGCCATTAGATTCAACCCCATTCACCACCTTAAACACCAAGGCACGGCAGCTACAAGATGTTTCATCTACAAGATGAACTGCAGCAACTCAATAAGGTTTCTTCAGCAGCACCACCTAAATCTGCACTTTCCATTATCAAGGGGGACAAGGGCATGATAATACATACGATCATCTCCAAGCTCCTCTCCAACCCATGCACCATCCCAACATGGAAATATATTACTGTTTATTCATCATCATTGGTCAAAACCACGGAACTCCCTAGCCAACAGTACTGTACTGCACCATCACTATAGGAACTGCAGAAGTTCAAGAAACCAACTCAGCATCTTCTCAAGGGCAGTTGAATTGGACAATAAATGCTAGACTTGTCAGTGATGCCAATGTCTTGAGATTCTTTATTTAAAGAAAACCTGGCAAGATGCAGTGACGCAGGAGTCCGGTAAAAGAAACACACAAGTTGTCAACACAGTCTCATTGTGGTCATTGGGATTTGCTGGCTCGGCCAGCATTTATTATTCATCCCTAGTTATCCTTGAGAAGGTGGAATAAGCTGCCTTCTTGAATCACTGCAGTTCATTCGGTGTAGATAGACCCACAATGTTATTAGAGAGGGAGTTCCAGGACTTTGACGCGGCAACACTGAAGGAATAGCAATATATTTCCAAGTCAAGATGATGTGTTGCTTGGAGGGAAAATTTCCGGTGGTGATGTATATGCTATCCTTGTCCTTCTAGATGGTAGTGGCCATGGGTTTTGAAGGTGCTGTCTAAGAAGCCTTGATGAATATTTGCAATGCTATTGAACATTGGTGGTGGGGAGAGTGAATGCTGATAGATGTGGTGTCAACTTAGCATGCTATTTTGACCTAGATATGTCAAGCTTCTTGAGCATTGTTGGAGGTACATTCATCCAGACAAGTGGGCAGTGCTCCTTCACACTTGTGACTTGTGCCTTGTAAATAGTGGGGAGACTTGACTTTGTACCAAGTTTCTCCAAGTAAATTTTGGTCAGGCACTTGTGGTTGTATTGGCTGACCTTGCAACAACCGGCACAGCACCACCCCACTTGTTCCAGGTTACACAGATTTATGGACACCAGCTGACCACATTTGTTTTCAAACTTTTATTTTTAAAAATAAAAAAAGCAAATTCTTCTGTGTGCCATTACGTTGACAAGCAGCAGCAGGAGCTTTCTATGGCAAAGTGGCTTTTCCAAAAGTTCGAAAGCGATGAATCATGACTGGCAGGAGTCCAGGGTGCAGTAGGTAATTGAAGGTAAGTTCATAGAATCACACAGTGCAGAAGAGACCCTTCTACCCATCGAGCCTGCACCGACACGTGGGAAACACCTGATGTGTAACCTAATCCCAATTGCCAGCACTTGGCCCACAGCCTTGAATACTATGACATGCCAAGTGCTCATTCAGGTACTTTTAAAGGATGTGAAGCAGTTTGCTTCTAACACCCATTCTGACATCACCACCCTCTGGGTAATAACTTTTTTCTCACCGCCCCCAGAAAACCTCCTGGCCCTAACTTTGAAACCGTGTCCCCTCGTGACTGATCGTTCAACTAAAGGGAACAGCTGCTTCTTGTCCACTCTGTCCATGCCCTTCATAATCTTGTACATCTCAATCAGATCATCCCGCAGTCTTCTCTGCTTCAAAAGAAACAACTGTAAGCTTCTCCAACCTTTCATCATAAATTGTCCATTCCAAGCAGCATTCTGGTGAATCTCCTCTGCACTCCCCCAATGCAATCATATCCTTCCTGTCATGCAGCAACTAGAACTGAACATAGTACTCTAGCTGTGGTCTCATCAAAGTTCTATACAACTCCAACAATACTTCCCTGCTTTTGTAATCTATGCCTCCATTGATAAAGGCGGATGTCTCATATGCCTTCTTCACCACCCTAACATACCCTTCTGCCTTCAGAGATCTATGGACAAATACTCCAAGGTCCCATTGTTCCACAGAACTTCCTAGTGTCTTGTCATTCATTGAATACTTCCTTGTCAAACTACTCCTTCCAAAGTGTATCAATTCACACTTTTCAGTGTTAAATTCCATCTGCCACTTACTGCCCATTTGACCATCCTGTTTTATATCTTCTTGTAGCGCGAGACACTCCACCTCACTGATAACCATCTGACCAATCTTTGTGTAATCTACAAATTTACTAATCCAAACCCCACACTATGTCATTTATATAAATGATGAATAATAGGGGACCTAGCACAGATCCTTGTGGTACACCACTGAACAGTGGTTTCCAGTCTCTAAGTCAGCCTCTGTCATCAGCTTCTGTCTCCTACAACTGAACCAGTTTTGAATCCAATCTATCACATTACCCTGTATCCCATGTGCATTTGCTTTCTTGATAAGTCTCCTATGTGGAATCTTGTCAAAGGCTTTGCTGAAATCCATATAAACTACATCAACTGCACTATCCTCATCTACACATCTAGGGACCTTCACAAAAAATTAAATCAAACTTGTTAGGCATGACCTCCCTCTGATGAAGCCCTGCTGATTATCCCTAATCAAGCCATGCCTCATCAGGTGGAAATATATGCTGTCCTTCATAAGTTTCTCCAATACCTTCCCTACCAGTGACCTCTGGCTTATCTCTACAACTTTTCTTAACTATCAAAACCACATTAGCTATTCTCCAGTGCTCTGACATCTCCCTTGTGGCCAGAAAGGAATTAAAAATTTGGGTCAGTGCCCCTGCAAGCTCCTCCTTGGCCTCCCACATCATCCAGACCTGGAGATTTGTCTACTTTTAAGCCTGCCAACACCCCTAATACCTTGACCTTCTCTATGTCAATTTGCTCAAGCACCTCGCAGTCTCTGTCCTGTATTCAATACCTTCATCCTCATTCTTTTGGGTGAAGACAGGTATGAAGTACTGGTTCAACACTCTACCAATGTCCTCTGGTGCCACCCACAGATTGCCCCATGGTCCCTAATGGGACCCACTTTTTCTGTGGTGGTTATCCTCTTCCCATTGATATATTTATAGACTATCTTGGGATCTTCCGTATTACCAGCCAGAACTTTCTCATATCTCCTCTTTGCTTTCTTAAGCTCCACCCTGCACTTTCTGTACTCTATTAGTGCCTCTGCTGATTTGCTCCCCTTGTACCTGCTAAAAGCCTCTCTCTTCCTTCTCATATCCTGAATATCTCTGGTTATCCATATTTTTCTGGGTTTATTTCTCCTTCTCATCACCCTAGAGGGAACATGATGGGCTTGCACCCTGCCCATTTCGTTTTTGAATGTCCCCAACTACACTCCTGTAAATTTCCCCACTAGAAGCAGTTCACAGTCTACCTTGGCCAGATCTTGCCTTATTTTACTAAATCTGCTCTTCCCCAATCCAAATAAATTACAACATGTCTATTTCTTTGTCCATTATAATTTTTAATTGTACCATGATGTGATCACTATCATTAAAATACTCTCCCATCACAACCTCAACCACCTGCCCAGCTTCAATCCGCAGATTAGGTCCAGAACAGGTCTGTCCCTTGTTAGACCCTCTACATATTGGCCTAAAAAGTGCTCCATTTTATATTTCAAGAAATCCACTCTATCCAAACCCATAACACTATGTCTATCCCAGTTAATGTTGAGAAAGTTGAAATCAGGTACTAAAATTGCCCTTTTGTTATTATTTTTACACACTACCATAAATTATGCATAAATGCACTCCTCATCAAGGAAGTCAAGTTATGACATCTCACAGATTGTGAATAGGGTTGCCAACTCTGGCTGAACACAATAATTTTGCACTTGTACTCCAGATCATAATGGCTCACTGTGGCAAAAAAAAATTGGTACTTCAACTAGCTATAACCAGTAACAACAAGCTATTTAACCAAGAAATTACTACTCACCGTATTATATTGAGTAACTGCTCTCTAATAGCAAATATAGGTAGGTATTGTCTTTGTTCAAGAATAGATTTCTTCTTTGCAAATTCACTGCTTGCCACATTCTTGTCCTTCATATGGTCAGCAAACTTCTGATCAATTCTACACATCAACAATATTAGAAAATATATTTCAGAAATTAATGTTGCATTTGTTATCAGATCACTCTGTAGTCTGTAATATTAGGGAGAGGCTGAATAGGCTGGGACTATTTTCCCTGGAGCGTTGGAAGCTGAGGGATGACCTTATGGTGGCATGGATAGGGTAAATAGACAAGGTCTTTTCCTGGGGGTGGGGGAGTCCAAAACTGCACAGCATAGATTTAAGGTGATGGGGGAAAGACGTAAAAGGAATCCAAGGATAACTTTTTTTTTACACAGGGGGTGGTGAGTATACAGAATGAGCGGCCAGAGGCAGTGGTAGAGGCTGATACAATTACAACATTTAAAAGGCATCTGGACAGTATATGAATAGGAAGGATTTAGAGGGATATGGGCCAAAAGCTGGCAAATCGGACTTGATTTATTTAGGATATCTGGTCGGCATGGACGACTTGGTCCGAAGGGTCTGTTACCGTGCTGTACATGACTTTAAAAGCAGAATTGTACTGTACACTGTCTTCAAGTATAACAGAGACAACATACAGCATTTAAGATGTTATCTATTAATGGATGGTGGAGGCAATAAAAGTGCTGCATGGACCTTTTGTGTTACTTTTTTATTTAATTTGAGTGCATAAAGGAGCAAGAGTGAAAACAGGCAAGTGGTGGGCAGAGTTTATTACAATACTATTGTTTTACTTATGACACCGGATTCAAACAGAGGTCAGATTGCTTCTTTGGCTTGACTGCAAAATTCAGACAAACAAAATTTGTCTGGGGAGTCACAACGCAGTTCCCAACTAATAAGACAGCCAAACAGCAAAATGAAAGCATTAAAGGTCAGTAATTAATTGGCCTACTTCCCAACCAATATTTAATTATTTACAATATCAGCAATTTTATTTGCTGTTTGATTAATTGGTGATTTTTCACTTCAAACGTTTTGTAATATTTTAATAAATTTTAAATACGACATAAACGGAAGTGGTCTCTGTTGTTTGCCACAGGAGAGAGAATTAACCCATTTTGAAGCCAATAGTAAAACACATACCTGTAATCCACATTCCCGTCTTCTCCGATGTCTTGATCCTTCTCTTCTACCTGTTTTATGCCCATAATGTCTCCTAGTTTGGTCCCAGCCAGTTCCCAGTGTTTATGCTGAGCCTGTTACAGAAACATCAGCAATTAAAAATCATATGAATATGAACTTGGTACTCAGACTGGTACTTAGTGCTCTGCCCAGCAACTTTGGGGGCAGGGAACCTCAGGGGCAAATATCCCCCTACCCACATTAGTGAGAAAGCGTTGTCCAAGCTTCTTGTCTAATCAAAAGATTCAGCACTAAATTCTCAACCCATTTGAAGCTGCCAAACAATCAGGGGTTAGTAGACCTAGGGAGCCGGAAAGCATCATGGAGGCCCAGACTGCACAACCATGTCAGATGGCAATGGTGAGTAAGTAAGTCTTTAGGGTGAAGTCACAAGAAGTCAGAGTCCCTCCCAAAAGTCAGCCTGGTCGTCAGGTTGCCTTGGTTTCCCCATCAGCAAAGTAGCCACGTTTCACACCTTCATGGAACATAAGTGATCAAGTTAGTGGCAGACTAAGGCTTTTAAGTGAGAAGGGAGCAACTATCCTTCCAGAGCCAATTACCAAGTTATTTGCCCTTCTTGCACTCTTAGTACCGCAAATGTTTTATTAACTGGCACCTATGGGAGTAACAATGTACTGGTTAGTAAAATATTCTGGTCGATCAAAGGGTCCACATAATCAATGTAAAAACTCACACTAAGTAATAGAAACATGATGTAGGCGATATACACGTCAGTGTTACACTTTATTTACAGCATAAATCACTTAAATAATAATACAACTTTGCCTTAAATGAAAATTAATAGCAGA